GCGAACAAAAAATTATATATTTTGTGTATTTATGAGATTATTTAATTCTGTAAAATCAAGAGAAACGGATAAATATGAGAGAAAAAATATCATCATGAGATTTGGTTTCACAACTGATTTACTCAATGGCTGAAAGAAAAAATGAAAAAAGTAGATCTGAGATAAGCAAGAGAAAGGCGATTTCTCTCTTGTGCACAACTCGTCTTTGCCGCCTTCCGGTGGCCGACGGCTCCGATAGCGCCGGTCACGGACCCCTTCTGTTTTGTTCCCGCTTCCTTTATGCTTTGTTTTGATCCTCGGCTTGGCATCGGCTTATGGGAAGAAGGATTTTGTCGGCTGATGGGGTCTGGGGGAGTTGGAGCCACTGGGTTCTCTGTCCTATGGAGCTTTGGTCTTCTCTCGCTAGCGTCATTGTCATCTCTCCAGTCCGATCTTGGGTCTGATCGGACATAGGTGTCTCCTCATATCTGCTCTCCGACTTGATTCTTTGAGGTTTCGGGTCTTAGACCTTAAAGCTATCTCGTTCGTCTCTTTTGCCTAGTTTGAGGTTTAACTTTTGCTTTGTAGTTAATTGTTGTTCTGATGTTGGGTTGGGTCTTATTCGATTGGCTGTGACTTTTGAGGGGTTAGATTTTTGGGTTTCTATATCGACTTATGTGGTCATCTCCTCTGGAATTGGTTGGATCTTGCTTGGGTTTAGGTTTCTGTATGTGGGGTTTCGTCAATCGGATGGTTTGCTATTGCATAGTCACCTATTTGTTCTCTCGGATTTGTGGGTGAGATTCTAACAATGCAGGGTCTTCGATTCTTCTGTTGCGTGGATGTGGTCGACTTTTTGTGTGTAGGTAACAAAGGTTGGTTTGCTAGGCCCGCGTGTAAGAGTTGGTGATCCTAGTTGGTGTTTCCTCTGGTGGATTTCAAGGTTTTTTCCTTGAGCTTAAGTTGATCAGGTTTCTTCATTATTTTGGAGCGGCAATGACGGTGTTTGTTCTTGTGCGTTCTGCTACCGTGGCCCTGCTCTCACTCTTGTCAGTGTTGCTATTTTCGTGATTTCGGAGTTGACTGGTTCAGTTCGGGTCTCGTCTTTTGGTGCACATTGGCTTCTACTTGTTCTATGGGATTGGTTGTTGGTCTATGTTGATGATTTGGTATAAGTTTCGATGTTAGATTTCTCAATTTTTACCCTCTTTTGTTGTTTTCATAGAATATGGCATTTGTTTTGGATCTTTTACTCTAAAGCTTAGTCTCTGGAGGTTCCGGTTTAGTATTCCAAAACTGTATTCCAAAGACTTATTCTACTTTTGTATTTTTTTTTAATGTTTTTTAATAAAATTCAGATGAAAGAAAAAAACTGATTTACTCAATTAACATAAAAGAAGAATTAGTAATAAGTTAACAAGGCACATATGTGTAATATATTTCGGAATGAATTGTTAGTTAAATCTTTTGCTTGGTGAGAGAAAGTGACACTTTAACAAAATTAGAGATGTGACTTCTAGAAGTGTCATAAACGAACATAGTAGATTAAAACTGTTTAAAATAATCCAATAACACCCAAATTTTGTTTATATTATTTTTTATTTTTTTGAAATTGTTTTGTTTATATTTTCGAAACAACTATAGTCTGATCTTAATTAATAAAACCCTTAACTAGTACGCGAATGGCGTGGTCAATCCTTTAAGTCGATTGACAAAAGAAATGGGCTAAGATAAGGAAATGTAAAAGTGGATATTTTAACCATTTCAACCAAATGTTTTCACATTATTCTTTTTAGGTAATGCATAATATTATGCTAATTCATTGGCGACAGCTGCCAGTGCCACCAGTACTGCCCGTCCACTTGGATCAATCCCTGCTTAAATTCATACCAAAAACAATCTCTCATTCTCTGTGTAATAGAGAGAACTTTTCATAAAAATATCTCGTGCAATCTTCAGATATCACCTTTAAATTATAAATAAAATAATTGATATGTACTACTCATATCCACTATCAAATTTAAATCTGAATTATGATGCGAATGATAAATTCCGGTCTATCCAAAAACTTATGAACATCAAATTTTAATAAG